AGAGAGGGGGGGACCGACAGCTGATAGTCAGTTCCTCGCCGGGCTGAACATCCTTATAAGCCACGACTTCCAACTCCAGAGTCCGAGGAGAAAACCGTGTGATTGCGCTAAAAAACAAGACCCCGTGTCAGCAAGCGTCTCCAGTGCCGTCCCGGGGCGGACACCTCTTGGCCTACTTTGGCATGCACGCGTGGTTGATCCTCTGTCGACCGTCAGCCAACAACACCCACGGCTTTGCCACCGCCCACCCACAGGGTAATCCCTACCGCGGCTCTCGGGAAGAGCCCGAGATGCCCGACGCCGCCGAACGCCGCCCCGAACGTGTTGGTCCGGATGACGTCCTCGAGCACGTGTCCGCCGGCGCTCCTCGAGAGGTCAAAGACCCTCCGCTGGTCCTCGGGCGGCAGCCGGACGAAGCCCTCCTCCAGGACCCAGAGGGCCCGCATCCGGCCGACGGGGCCCGCGGGCTCGGTCAGCTGCAGGAGCACCGGGCGCTCCCTCAGCACGACGTCGCCCGCGCGGATCGTCGCGTTCGCCACGGCCCCGAGGCCCTTCCCCGGCACCTCCCTGACCTCGAAGGGCGACGGCGTGTGGGACCGAGCGGCGGCGGCGGCTACTTTCGACGAACCGCCGCCGCCGCCGACGACCCACCGCGGGTCCGAGTCCTCGATGATGCTGTGGCCGGCGGCCGCGATCTCCGGGCTGGTGACCACGAGGAGGCCCGCCTCGCCGCGGAAGTCCTCCTTGACGAAGGCGCACAGGGCCGCGCCCCTTCCCGCCGCTTTCGGGCCGACGCACACGGGCTCGCGCGTCCACGGACTCCAGCCCGAGTGGGCGGACGGCGTCTTCGGGTCGTATGCCACGCGGCACTGTTCGGGGGTGCCGAGCGGGCCGGCAGGGCGCCAGGGGCATTGGTTGCCGCCGCCGCCGCCGCCGCCGTCGCCAAGCGCCGTCGTGGGGAAGACGAGCACCGCCGCGAGCAGCGGTAGGATATCAAACCCTGAAAAGGCGAGCAGACCCATCCTTGCGGTTCCGAGTCGTCGAGCCTGGCTTCTGGCAGACCAAAATGTCGGTTTCCAAAGTCCCCCCCCCCTTTCTACTTTCTCGGGACCGGGGCAGTTTTTGTTCACGCGCCGAACACGCGCGCAACGTGGCATTGGCCGGAAAGGGATACGCTGCACCCCCGTCCGCGTTTCCACAACCGGGTGCGGTCGCCGCCGTCGCCCTGCATCAGAACGAGCATCGCATTTAGCCTCGGCCCGTCAGTGTCGAGACCCTCCCCCCCCCAAAAAAGAACCCCCGTGCGGCGATCGTTTCTCGGCGAAGGATCTCGCTCGCCACGTTGGTTCTTCTGGGGGTCGGAGCATGGCTCGCCGAAATGCCAAGTGTGCCAAGCTGCTCGGCTATTGGGGGGGGGGGAGGTGGTTTTGGTCGAGGGACATAACCGCTGCACCTCCGGGGTTGTCCCCGAGTCAAGAGGGGGGGCCTTGTAGTCTACTCTACTCGGCGCGCTGCGGTGCTTGGCGTTACCTTTTTCCGCGGCTCACTCCTTTTAGAGAACAGATGGTTGTCCATGATAGTTGAGGTTCGAACAGAAATTGCAGAGAGAGAGGGGGGGGTTGCTAGTTGAAACGCTGATGGGAACTGGTAGCACGTCTCAGCGATGCTTGTCCTGCGAGACCGCGGCGACGCAAACTGATGCTTACGGGTCGAACCCACAACCTTGAGACCGAGAGTCTCACGCTCCACTGTCGCAATGGGCGTTGAGAGATGGCGCGCGGGCGCGAGGGCCACGGATCAGAAGCAGATTATCCGCGGAAGAGGGCAGGGCACCGCCGCCGTATCCGTATCCAACACCAAAAGGAGGGACCGACTCGTCTTGATGAAGCTGGATTGCCCTTCTCCCCCCCCCCCGGGACGAGCCGGCATGAGCGGTGCGCCGTCACGGAGGTGCGGGTGACGGACGGGAGCTCGGCCTGGCGGGATCAGGGGTCGCCGGAGCGGTTGAGTCCAAAGTTTAATGCGGCGGTGCGGTGGGCGGGCTCCAGGCGTGCTATGGATGTTTCCACAGAGAGAGAGAGAGGGTGTCGGAACGGAGCGGGACCGCCTGCTAACCCGGTCTCCGGGACAAAGGCAGGATACGAGGCTTGAATCATACAGGCATAACTTGGTAGCAACATGTTTCGTCATTGCATGGCATCGAAGCATTGCCCCGGATAAGGGGGCCAGTCTATGAACATCCGTCTATATGATTAATACAAGTTAGGTGATACAAGATACCAGAGTGTGTATGTGTGTGTGTGCGCGCGCGCGCAGGTTTCTCAAGAAACCCGCCCCCGGTAGCGACTCCCACGGTCAGGCCGGATCAGAGAGTCCCCCCCCAAAACCCGACCGCGTTCCCTGGCCCGTCTACTCCTCGATCCTCTCCTTCACCAGGGCCCAGCACTTACGCATCCCGGTCCCCATCGATTCCTCGTCCACCTCCTCCGCCGTGGCCCACCGGTGTCTCGCGTGCGCCGACACGCACTCCCCCTCCCCCCCCTCCGCTTCGAAGAGGTGCACGTGCATCGTCAGCCTGATGTGCGAGAACAGCCACGGCACGCTGCCGAGGTCGCCGACGTGCCGCACCCGGTGCTGCTCCCGCCGCCGCCGCCCCCCGGTCTCCGGCTTCTTGCCGTCGTCGCCGTCGCCGGGCAGCAGCAGCAGGCCCGAGACGTACCCCTGCGCGTCCCGCTTCCTCGACGACGCCGTGCTGCTTGCCGTCGCCGCAGGAGGAGGAGGAGGCAGCGTGTGGCTCGGCAGCTCCCACATGCCGGCGAGGAGCCCCTTGTCCGGGCGTCGGTGGATCAGGAAGCGCCCGTCTTCGCGGTGGCGGACGGCGCAGACGAGGGCCTCTTCCTCGCGCGCCGCCTTCTTGACGACCTTGAGCGGGAACTTCCTCGCGTGCTCGGCGACGGTCTCCAGGGTTTTCGCGTCGACCGCCGCCGCCGCCGCCCGCGGTCCCGGCGAGTCCGGTTCTTGTTCCTCTTTGGCCGCCGTCTTGGGGGAGAAGAAGGCGGACAAGGTGGTCTGCTTCGCGACGGGCCGGGACTTGGTCCCCTTGCCGGCCGCCCTGACCGCCTTGGCCGCCTTTGGCGCTTCCGCGTCCGAGTCTTCCCCCGAGAAGGCGGCAGCAGCAGCAGCCTCCCCCTCCTCGAAGGGCTCGCATATCGAGCACAGGTCCTCAATGTCCTCCACCTTGGCGGCCCTCGTCGGCTTCGCGGCCGCCAGCAGACCCTCGGCGTAGGCGCGGCACGTCGACGTGACGGGGCACGCGCCGCAGTTCGGCTTCGGCGTGCAGACGGTGCTCCCCAGCTCCATCAGCGCCTGGCCCCACCGCCCCGGCCGATCGCTCGCAGGCGGCGCCGCCGCCGCCTTCTCGTCGTCCTCGCCCTCGCCCTCGCCCTCGTCTCCGGCGGCCCGGTCGCAGTCCTGTTCGGGGTCGTCCCTCGCGACGGCCTTGACGAGGGCGTCGGCGGCGGCCCAGAGCAGGTCGATGACGGCCCTGTCCGTCTTGGCGTTGCCGAACACGCCCAGCTGCCGGCTCAGCACGCGGAGCACGTTCCCGTCGACCATGGGCGCGGCCCGGCCGAAGACGATGGCGGCGATGGCGCCGGCGGTGTAGCGCCCGACGCCGGGGACCTTGGCCTCGAGCTCGGCCGTGTCGGCCGGCAGCAGGCCGGCCCAGCGCGGGTCGGCGACGACGAGCCGGGCGGCCTCGTGGATCCTCGTGGCGCGGCTGTAGTAGCCCAGCCCCCGCCAGGCGGCCAGCACGTCCTCGGGGGCGGCGGCGGCGAGGTCCCGGATGGTGGGCCACCGCGCCATCCAGCGGTTCCAGTAGTCGATGACGACGGCGACGCGGGTCTGCTGCAGCATGATCTCGCTGATCCAGACCTCGTAGGCGCGCCTCTCGAGGGCGGCGCGGAGGCCGACGGCGTCGTCGGGGCAGGAGGAGGAGGAGGAGGCCCGCGGGTCGATCCAGGCCTTGCGCCACGGCATGCCGCGGGCGGTGCTGGTGGCGTCGAACCAGGCGAGGAGGGCGTCTCTTCCGTCGCGCCCGGGCCGGCCGTCCAGCAGCAGGGGGCGGTGGTAGCCGGCGGCGTGGATTCTCGACGGGGGCGGGCAGGGGTCCTGCTGCGTCGCCGGCTGTCCGGACGGGCCGAAGAGGACGGCGTAGAGCTTCGCCGTGTCGGCTTTCCGCGTCTTTTCGACCTTGCGTCGCTTTGGCGGCGGCTCAGAAGGATCGTTCACTCCATCGTCGTCGACGGGGGGTGTGAAGTCTGCCTCGGACGCGTCTTTCCGTGGCGGCGGCGGCGGTGGTGGTGGTGGTTTGGCGGCGGTGGCGGCGGCGGCTCTGCGCGTCCTGGAGATTGATTTCAAGGGCTCGTCGTCCGGCTCGTCGTCGGCCTGGGCCAAGATTCTCTTCGCCGCAGCGAGCGAGCTTTGGCGACGCACAACGCCGCGCTGTATCATGATGGTTGCTGTCGAGTGTGAGACGCGACGACGGGAGACGCGTCGCAAAGCGCAAGTGAATGACGGCCGGACTTTAGCGTCGATCCCGGTGACGGGACCCTGGAATTAAGATCGTATCGCATCAGGGGTCCAGGGTCGCTCGGTCCCTAGAGACGGGCACAAGCCACTGGAGCAATAAGACGGAGAGAAGAGAAAATAAAAGGAAAAAGAAACAATGTGCCTTTACGTAGATATCCGTGGATAGATGGATAGATAGGTAGGTGGATAACTCATGATTCCTCCACATTTCCTGTTGATCAACTTTGTAGCAATCCTATCCTATCCATATCTATCCATCTATGCATGCTCTCAGTACCTAATCTCAATACATCTTGCACATTCTTGTTGTGTTGAAAAGGCGCAGTGCAAAAGCAGAAAAGAAGCAAATACACCGGCCGACGTGCACCTTGTACAGCAAAGCAAAGCAGAACAGAGCAGAGCAGAAGAACAGGTCCTACCAGGATGCGAACCTGGGCCTACGGAAAGATCCAAAGGCAATCAGAGTCCGACGTCCTAACCGACTAGACTGTAAGACCGTGGGAACAACTGCGGTTGCTGTCCCCATCGTCGGTTCTGCCGTCCATCGAGTTCTGCGCACGCGACGCGACGCCGCGGATGACGCAGGGCAAAAGAAGACCGGAGAGAACGGGACAGGTCGCGCCCCGTGTTTTGGGTCTTTCTATTTATATGCTTCTGGAAGTCGGCACACCGACAGACTTCTCGGACGTCTTTGGCCTGATGTTGTTGTGAGCTCTAACCGACGTGCAGCCCCCCCATCCATCCATCCCTACACAGAGAACCCCCCCGACTTTACTCGGTCCAGCCGTCGCCGGCGCACGTCATCCAGTTGACGCCGACCAGCTTCAGGCCGTGCTTCTCGGCAAACTCGGCCGGCTTCCACGACCGTCTCTCGACAAACTCCTCCCCGCCGACGTCCTCCTTCTTGAGATCCAGGCCCTGGGGCTCCCGGTAGAGCAGGAAGAGGTAGCGGTGCGGCTTCGAGCTGGGAGAGAGAGAGCCCCGAGTCAGCGTTCTCATTGACAAAACCGTAATTTCGTTTTCCCCTCCGTGAAAAACCAAGGTCCGAGACAGAAAAGAAAAAAAAAAAGAAAAAAATAAGAACAAAAAAAGACGAGGGAAAAAAAACTAAAAAAAACTCACTCGTCCTTGGGCCCGGGCCCGAGATACCCCGTCAGCGCCGGCTTCCCCTGCGCGACCACGCCGCTGCCCCCGCCGAGCGGCTGCAGCCCGGGCGCGACCCAGTGGCGCCAGAAGGCGAACCGCGGGTCGTCCGGCGTCGGCGCGTCCGGGTCCGTCAGGACGAGCGTGTAGCACGCGCCCGACGACGCCCCCGCCGCCGCCGCCCCGGGGGCCTCGCCCGCGAACGAGACGCTCGGCACCAGCTTGCACTCGCGCGCCCGGAAGAGGTTGCCGGCGTCGACGGCCCTGCCCGCGAACGACACCTCGAGCCGCGTCGTCGGCTCGAAGCCCTCGGGGATGAGGGCGCCGGCCGGGCCGGGCACGAGCTTGGCCCGCTCGAGCGAGCTCGCGAGCTTCTGGGCGTGGTCGGAAAGGGACATTCTGAGAGAGAGAGAGAGGGGGGGGGGGGGGGGGGGGGGGGGGGGGGGGGGGGGGGGGGGGGGGGGGATTGGTACAGGGTGGCGAGGGAGAGGGGGGAGCCGTCGAGGGAATGAATAATGAAGATTTTTTTTGTTTTGTTTGGAACAATCGCTTCGCTTGCGGGCTGTTCTTAAGCCGAATAATACGTGAATGCGCCATGACCCATCTACCCCTCCATGTACGCGGGGTTCGGGCGCGGTGTTATGACGCGTGGGAAACGATACCCAGTGGTGGAAAAATTGCCTGGTTTCCTGCACGGGAGAGGGGGGGGGGTCTTGGCAGATATCCAGTCTCGACTCGAGTTTCGATGAAACCGAGGATGAAAACGAAATCCCATCCAGGCGATGATGCCCCAAGTCTTCTTCGAGCCGGATGGGGTTATAACCACTAGGGTTTCTGTTTCATTATCGGGTGTGTAAGGCGAGGCAACATCACGTACGTACGCACGGCTTCGGTAACGCTATCGATCGTAATGACTGACGCGGCGGCGGGACAATCAATGGAAGAGTTTGTACGGAGACGGTTCCGGGTCCGCCATGGTCGCTCGCCTTTGGGCCATGATGACGGCTCGAGGCCAGCCAGCCTGTGAGATCCCTAGCTTCATGCATGCTGGCTGCATCGGTTGCTGCTCGGTCTCGACTGGCTTTGATCCGTGGTTTGGCCATGACGTTTCTGAACAAACCCCCCCCTTGACAACACCGGCCGAGGCTTACTAGGTTTCAACCGTCTGTCATCAGTTTTTTTTTAATTTTTTAGTTTTTTTTTCCCGCTTACGTCGCCTGGATTTTCGGTTCATATTTTAACCGCCCGCCCAGATTCACTTGCAAGCCGCCTTTCGGACACGACCCTGACTGCAGGTGAAACCTCGTGCATCTGCATCGCAGACATCTGGGCTCCCCTGATCCAGGTAGCTGCCTGCAAAAAAAGTTCCCAAACAGCACGTTGCAAGTGTGTGTGTGTGTGTGTGTGTGTGTGTATCCATTCGCCACGCCGTGTCCCCCGTCCGCGTTATGACGGCCCAGCGGTTCAAAGGCTCAATGTGACCAGCAAGATCCCGGGGGGGGGGGGCCGCTTCGTCCAATATACACCCCATCCGGCGTTCCGGGTCCCCCAGGCCCGCCCTCCTGTGAGGAGGAGGAGGAGGAGGAGGAGGATATCGCGGAAGGCCTCAGACCAGGGGCGCGCGCGACCGCCCGTCCCTTCTTCAAAACGCGTCCCTCACGTTCCGAGCCACCGACACTACCGGGAAACGAACCGGGCCGGAAAGAAAAGAAAAAAAGACATAAAAAAAAGAGAGAGAAAAAAGAAACGGCAGTTCAGAGTCTTGGTCGAGTCTGCCGCCATGCCATCGTTCACGATCTACGATTTTAAGTGTCACATCTTTTGGCGGAGCTCTTCAGGGCGCGGGAGTGGCCTTTGCCGGCGCCTTCTCAGCCATTATGGATGTGAATGAATGAATGAAGGTAGGGGGGGGGACTATCGGCATGTCACGTTTGGCCCGGCTAGCAAGAACGGACGGCTATGAGCCAGGCAACGGCACTCAACAACATAATCATTTTGGTAGACAGAGAGAGAGAGAGAGAGAGATACAGAGACAAGTACGGCCAACGGGTTACAATTTATGTCAACCTAGTGAAAAGGTTTTTAATGGGTATTCTACAACCAGAAGGCGAGAACAGCTAACTAATTAGAAAGTGTAGAGAGAAGGAGTGAGAGTGAGAGAGTGTGTGTGTGTATGAGAGAGAGAGAGAGAGAGAGAATATGAGAGGGAGATAGAGGGAGATAGAGGGAGATAGGAGTCAAGGCAGCAGGGCAGGAAAGCTGCATGGTCTTGCTAAACAAGAAGATAGTCTCTTTTTTTTCTAAAACAGATCATGGTGACCAACGGGGACGGCGCGCGACAGCGGCAAGCGCTCATTAATCCTTCTTGACGTCGACGAGCGGCCGCAGCATCCTGTAGGTCGCGATCCAGATGATGAGTCCGGTGGTGGGGAAGACTCCGCACAGCATGATGGCGAAGTTGTACCCCTTGACCTCTGCCATCCAGCCGCCGAGCGAGTGCGAGATGGCGGAGCCCGCCTGGCGCGTCATGTTGCCGGCGATGCCGTACGCGACGTTGACGCGCCCCGTGCCGGCCATGATCATGGCCACCATGCCGGGCGTCGCCACGCTGAGGATGCCGTGGGCGACGCCGTCGAGGATCTGCACCGGCCAGATGGCCCAGTACTTGATCACCTTGCCGGCCAGCACCGCGCGGATGGGCAGCACAATGTACGAGAGCATGACCAGGAGCCAGTATCCCCACCGGTCCGCCACCCACGCCGTCAGCACCGACATGATGGTCATGGTCGCCTGCGCGATGATGACGGTCAGGCCCGTCATCTGCGCCGGGTCGCCCTCGCCCGCGACCACGAGCGCCTGGCCGTAGATGTAGAGGATGCAGGCGTTTCCGAGGTGGAACAGCATCACCGTGATGGCCACCACGAGCAGCGGCCTGTTCTTGGCCAGTTGGATGAGCGAGCTGTCCTGGCCCTTCTTCTTCTTCTTCTTGTCCTTGCCGAGGCCGGGAAGATGGAACCCGCCCTTCTTGCCCGCCGCCCCCCTCTCCTGCATGTCCTGGTGTTGGCTGTTGTTGTCGTCCGTCTCGGCCTCGACCGGCACGCGGCCTCGAGCGGCCGCGTGGTCGATGGCGCCCTCGGGGATGAAGAAGACGATGCCCATCGTGCAGGCGCAGCAGGCGATGACGAGGTAGAAGACGGCCGGGAGCCCAAACTTCTGGCCGAGCGCGCCCGCCGCGCCCGCCGTGATCATGTTGCCCAGGTGGTTGGACGCCTGGTTGCGCCCGTTGAGCGCGATGAAGCTGTGCTTGTTCTTCTTCTTCTTCTTGTCCTTGTCCTTGTCCTTGCCGCCGCCGCCGCCCGGGGGCGGAGCCACGACGGCGTCGGCGCCGTCGGTCTCGGTGCAGACGCCCATGGTGAGCGCCACGAGAAGCGGGATCAGGCTGGCGCCGGCGACGGCCGAGACCATCTGCGTGGTGAAGACGCAGGCCGGGTGCGTGGAGAGGAGGTTGAGGCCCTGACACGTGCCGACGGTGCAGGCGAACGCGGCGACGAGGATGCGTTTGTACCTGAGGACGCACGAGGCGTGTGGTCAGTCTAACCTCTCCATATCGTCAAATGCTTGTCACAAGACACTCACTTCGTAGCGTCTATAAGCGCACCGATCGGCCCGGACATGATGATGGTCGCCACGTGGCTCATGGCGACGACGGAGCCGCGCATCCCGGGAGCCCAGTTGTGGTCCTGGAGGTACACGCCCAGGAAGGGGCCCAGGCCCTCCTGCACGTCGCCCATGAAGAAGGCCATGGCGAGGAGGGCCCAGCGCGCCCGCTTCCTCAACCTGGTCAGCTCCGGGTCCTCCATCTCGCCGCCTTGGCCCTCCGACCCGTCCATGGGCGTGTTGAGCATGGTGGCCGGATCGGACGTCGACCCGCTCAGAGGCGGCATGTCCTGCTTGTCCCGCCTGTAGTCGGCCTCGGTCCGCGGCTGCTCGGCCGGGTGCAGGTAGTCGAGGCTGATGGCGTTGCGGTAGTTTTGCTGGTTGTCTTTGGCGTCCATGGTCTGGGGTGTCTCTCTTCTCTTCTCTTCACTGCTGCCGAAAGAAAGGAAAGTGTTTTCGTCCGTGATCAGAACTTGTCAGAGAAGACGCCGGGAAGCCGTTCTTTAAGAGGCGCGGGGGGGGGAGAGAGAGTGTGTTCATCCATCGGGAACGACAGACGTCCCCAGCGAGGAAACTGACAGATTCCCTACGTCAACGACCGAGAGATCAGTGTCGCCTCCCACCCCCAAGGGCGGACTCATGAGGTCGTGCCAAAGATAGTCGTCTGCGCAAAAGCCTCTTTTTTTTTTTGACTTGC